AGGCCTCTCTCATCTTTTTAAGTGGGAGAACTTGCACAATTGGTGGCTAAATACTTTTTTGCCCCACTGTATCTTAAAATGCAATACACTGGTCCTGAAAATTCTGGATAATTTGTCATTTTTTAGATTCTGAGAGTTACCAGTTCCTGCTAATTTATGTCTATAACTTCACTATTCAAGGGATGTTGATGCACTGGCTTGTCTTCCACACTTCCAGACTGACAGAAAAAATGTATTTCTGAAAGGGGTTAGACTGTATTGTTGAATGTCAACAAAATCATCAAGGAAGAATAAACATTTTAAAAACAGCCCAATTCCATAAATACATGTATACCCAATTAATTGATGTATATCTGTACACAGGCAAATCTTTCATGGTGTCTCTCCAGCAAACCTGTCCATGGTTTTTATGAATTTTTACAGTCTTCTGATGGCATAAAGATGTGAATTGTTGAAGACAGACAATGGAATACAAGAACGTAGGAAGCACTTTTAAACTTAATCAGATGGAAGTTTTTCCCCAGCATTTCCTTGTGTATAAGCTGATGACAAAAACACTTTGTGCATGCTTTCTGCTGTTCTGTCTTTGGAGGAGTACACAAATTATTAGCTATGAAATCCTTTCCAAATGCTAGCAACAAGGCTGAAGACTCAGCTTAAAAAACAAAGTAGTTGATTTTTGCTTTTTATATTAAAAGCAAGTCTGAAGCTCAAGGAAAAGGAAGGGAAGGGTGTTTCAGGAAGAACATAGTTTATTTAAGCAAATCCAGAATGACAACAATTACCTGAAGCACCAACATATCTGTGCTAGTCTAGCTGTTTAATAACACTGAGTCATCCTGTGTAAGAATAACTGAAGAAAGAGTGACATGATGTCCTGTCAGTAAGCTCTGGTGTTATTCCAAACCCTTACATTAAAAGCTACTAATAGTGCTGTTATACTTAGCAAACTGATCATTTCTGTAGATGCACAGCATGAGGCAGCTGAGTTACCTGATTGGCCCACTGCCTCTGAATCATTATGAACTGTGACAATCAAGAGAGAGAATTGGAAAACAAGAATCGGAATGTCAGTATGCATAAACTGAATTCTGGGGGGAAGATCTGAAGGATGCGATTGCCCAAATTCAAGATCAGATTCTTTGGGTGCTGGGAATAAACCCTTTCCTACCTCAATAAAACTGGAAGTATCCTGGACTCCCCCCCCCCTTTCATTGTATACCTAGACTTAGGAGCATACCTATGTATCTATAACCATACTGCTGTATTGTTGATCTTATGATACACTGTAATGTGGATAGATTTGTGGTGGCGGGAGCATAGCACTCTGTTCCTTCTATCTTTTGCATGTAATTATTTCCATGAGTTAATTTTGCTTTCATGCTATTCTCCTTCCTACTGCTAATTGATACAAAGAGGCAGTCTACTAAACACAAGCAGTCTTGAATCTGCCAACTGGAACTCTGGCCTGATGCTGTTTTTCACTGACTTAGAAGAATCTGTGGGGAGTTTTTTCAATTCAAAGCAAGGGAATGAATTGAACTTCTCATCGTTATGGAAGTCATCAATATAAGATTTATAGTTCTTAAGTATGTGAAAACAGTGATTAGTTACTGTACATATCTGGTTAAGTTTGTACTGCCTTATTGGATTAGCTGCATTCACCATGAGATTAGAAGACATCATTTTTCACAAAAGGCTACGGAAGTCATAACACAGATGGCTTAATATTAAAAATACGGTAGACAATTTTTGAATGTTAGATAATTTCAAAAAGTGTATATGCATAAGGGAATTCAATCACAATTTATGACTGGAGACGCTCAGTGTAGTACAATATTTAATGCATCATAATTTATGTTTTTCTGCAACTTGCAGTGGTGCTTTGTGTGATTCATACAAACTGGTGGGTTATGGATGGACGGGGGACTGATGTTTATCTCTGGTTCTGCTTTTTCTCCATCCACACAGCTGCTTCCTCTACTTGATCCCTTCACTTCAACACTTCCCTCCTTGGAACTCAAAATGGCTCAGGAACCTTTGAAACCACAGTCCTGATAACACATCTCTTCCAAGCATTGTCCAGTTAACAAACATCTGTGCTGGTTCTTTTCAAGCACAGATAGTGTTTCTGTAAAGACAATAAAACTTTGCTTTGTCAACTGAACATAATTTTAGAATTTTCTAATGTTGTCTTGGATGCAGATTAAGAGGCAAAACAAAATCTGGGTTATGAAAGAGTCCTGCCACAAGAAAGAAATAATTGGCATGGAATTCATTAGAAAAGAAGGAAAGACTGTTCCTTAGTCTTTCAAGTTGTTCTTGTCGTCCAGTTGCTTCTGACTCTTGATGGACAAGAGTTTGCCAACGGCTCCCTCTTTTGAACTCAATTGTAAGCTACCGTTTGTGGTATTTGTAAGACAAACTAGCTATCTTATCTATTGCCTTTGATTTTTTTCAAGCATTAGGGCAGTGTTGTCCAAACTTGGCCACTTTAAGATGAGTGGACTTCAACTCCCAGAATTCCCCAGCCTCCAATTCTCGGAATTGAAGTCCACTCATCTTAAAGTGGCCAAGTTTGGACAACACTGCATTAGGGTCTTCCCCAAAGACTTTTGCTTCCCCATTATATCAGCCATTAGATAAATCTTATATTCTAAGATTTAGTATTTAGTAATTATTATTAGCATTACCAGTGAGCTCTCTGGTTTTACAACAACTGTTACTGAACAATTTGTTCTTTCTGCTGTCCAAGGTATTCTCAATACTTTTTTTTTTTCAGCACCACAGTTCACCAGATTTTTCCTGGTGGCGCAGCATTTACAGCCATACATTATGACTGGGAACTCCACTGCCTTGACTATGCATGCCTTTCCTGACAGTGTGATATTTCTGTAGTTTAAAATTGTTTAGATTTGCCACAAGCTTTTTCCCTGAGAAGCAGATGTCTATTTATGTCATAATTACAGGCAACATCCCTGTGGAGTTTTGAGCCTAGGAACATAAAGTCTGTTACTATTTCCCCAACCTCTTCATCTATTTGCATTCAGTTAGCACCAGCAGTTGACATTTTGTAATTATTTTTTTTTTAAAATATTGAGAATCGGAATGGCTGCTGCACTTGTATTTCGCCTTCATTAAGAAATTCCCTAGATCTTTCTCACTTCCAGACACCAAAGTGGCATTATTAGCGTATCAGAGCTTGCTAATATTTTCTTCAGCAATTTTAATTCTATCTTCTGTTTCTTCTACTCTAGAGCTGATCACAACTGAAGCAGCATATAAACCTAAGCAAGCAAATAAATGAACAAATAAATTTCTAATGATACGCTCTGCGAGTCCGAGCTTGTGGAAGGATAAAAATAGAATAAATAAATGCGTAAGGTGACAGTATATAACTCCTTTCCCACTTGTGAACCATTAAGTGGCTCCATATTCCTTTCTTACTGTTGCTTTTTTGTCACCAAGCAAACACTTCAATATGCAGATGAAGTGGCCCGGTATGCTCATATGTTTAAGTGCTGTCCATTTAAAATTGGTCTATGGAATCAAGAGCCTTGGTTAACAATAAATAAGCAGTAAAGCAAAAATAAATGTATTTTTGGAACTCTTTGTGCCTTTTCCACTATCTCCTGGATATTTGCAGTGGGTTCCTGTGTGCCTCTGCTTTTTATTTTTAAACCAACTGGTACCGCTGTAAAATACTAACAGTCTCTGATATGCTAATAATGCCACTTTTGTTCCATGTATTATTGAAGTCTGGATTGCAAAACCTTGAGTATTATCTTATGAGCATGTAAGAAAATTGGAAATGTTCATCTGAACACTTTTTTTTTTTTTGGAGTAACCTTTTTGACTACTGAAAGATAGCTTGATCTTTTCCAATCTCCTGGCCACGGTCTTCTAAATCTGCTCTTAAAAAAGAAGCAGGGAAGTTGAGGTAACAAATGCATAAGGTACAGAAATTACAGGACACTTAAGTCTTACGAGAAGTGATGCCACCTACGCTATTAGATTTTCTTCTGGGAATAGGGGAGAACAGACTGCCAGTGACACACTGGGAACTGAAAAGCACCCTTCATATTATCAGAGGTACAGGTAGTCCTTGGGTAACTGGGACCGGAATTTCCATTGCTAAGTGAAGCAGTCATTAAGCAAAATATCATGTGTCAGCACTGAGCAGTCCCAGCAGTCCAGATTGTGGTTGTTAGACTAGGACTGCATGGTCGTTAGGTGAGGAACTCACTCTTCTCCTTCCCTGCTGTGCTCCACTTCAACATCCCCACCTACCTATCTCCCCATTACTGCCCGTTTGCCACCCTGCACTCCACCACCTATCCGAGCTACCCCACCACCACCATCGCCCTCCCAGCTAACCTTCACTGTCTTCTTCCTCCTGTTGCTGGCCTGGAATCCAGGTGCCGGTGCAGCCCCAGGATGTGTGTGGAGAGTGTGGCAGGGTGGCAGAGCCTCGTCTGCCAAAGGGAGCTTGCTGGGCCCAGCCAGGGAGAAGGCAGTGAGATGGAGCTGGTGGAGGAGAAAGGGCAGCGGTGTGGGTGGAGGAGCTCCATCTTCTGCTGCCAGTGCGAGGAGCAATTGCCCATAGACCCTGAAGAACACAGAGGGATGGCAAGGCACAGCATGCTATGTTGCCAGGGGAGGCAGTGGCAGCTCCCGGGATGAAAGTAGCAGCTGGGTGGGAGGTGCTGTTCAGAGTGGCGGTGGAACTGGAGGAAGCAGAGGGCTTCCTGGAGGTGCAGCATGCGCTCTGCAGCTTGTGTGGAAGTGCTCTTGGAAAACCAGCCTGCAGGCTTCAGAGAGGGGTGGAGGCAAGCCTGGTGCTGACAGAGCCTACATGCAGGCCCACTGCTCACTTAGCTCAGCCTTCCTCCTGCAAAGCCTCGTGAAAGTCCAGTAGCTTCCAATGCACTTCTGGAGAAGTGGCCTGCCAGCAGCAGCAGGAAGAAGACAGTGAAGGTCAGCTGGAGGCTGCAGGGTCATGGCCACAACTACCATTTGTTCAGCGCCTTTGTAAATTTGAGCGCTGTCACTGAACAAACGATGTCTGCCTGTAGTTTTACTGCAATCTTGTTCCCTAGTAAAAATCATCTTTGGCTGCAAAGCATAATTTGTTGTAGAGAAATACAGAGATGGCCTTGAAGAAGGAATTCACCAGCCATTAGGTAAACACCAGAGGGAGGGAGGGTGGGTGGGTCAAGATTGTCTTGCCTTGAATCTGTTTCACATAAGAGTTCTGAAATGCCAGTACCACTGGGGCCAAACAAATCTCAGGGGCTATGGTATCCCAAAGGGCAGTGCTATAACTGAGAAGGTCTACTAGTATGAGATATAAACAGCAGCAAAAGAGAAGCAGTTGTCAGACAACAGAAAGTTATTGCCTTCTCTAATGGAGGTAAAATACAGCCATCATGACTTCATAGCTGCTGATAGCTTTATTTTTCAAAGCCCTTGCCAATATTTTTGCCAAAATTCTCAACACTTACCTTGTCATGCACTCCATCTCTAAAGGAATTATGCCACTTTCTAAACCCAGAGACACAATAATACGTTAAAAAAAAAAAAAGAAACTTAACATTTTATAGTAGTATTTCTACGGAGTTCTAAGGATTAATATTTATGATTTCTCCAGAGAAAATGACAGTGACTTGACTGTCATTGGTTATGGATGTTCATATACCCTGATCTGTGACTGTAATAATGAATTTGATTTGATGTTCGTATATAGGAAAAGAAGACTTATAAAAAGCATTCCTTTGTGGAAGTAGAACAGATGGAGGATACAATATATGAGCTGCAAGTCAGCTATCACGCAGTTCTGTCTTCAAAGAAACTTTGGAAAAAGAAAGGTAATAGACAGAAAACAGACATCCTGAAACCGTTGTGATGAGCGTAGATATTTGGAAACCATGCACTGCATATTTCACAAGAGACTGATTTATGTGCTCTGAAAGAACATCTGTGTAAATAATTTTGTTTGGGTTTGTAGGATTAGAACATGGAAGGTACAGTTCTCAATGAGATTTGCAGGTATCCAAACTGTGCTCACCTTCCCTCCTCCCACCTCTCTCTATGATTGCAGCTAATGGAACAGAAATATAAACATTTTAAACACTTAAGTTTCTGCTTTCTTTAGCTGCTCTGATGAGAATAAAAAATAGTTTAGCCAGGGATGGGGATTTTGCCATTTTCTGTTTTGGACAAAACTCTTATTTTACTGTTTGGGCCTATTTATGTATTCTGCTGGGGGAAAAAAGCCAGCCTTGTACTCAGGAACACCTCTCAAAATGTTTTTGGGGCATTTCCCTAGAGTTTTTTCCTAGAGTTGGAGGATTTGTTTTTTTAACTCTGAAAAGTGGATTAAATATTTATAAATGAACACATAACTAGTATGCATACATTTCCTAAGCAACTTTTAAATACTAAAAAAGTTTTACATGCATTTTCCTTTCTATGAATCTTTGTACTTGTTTTTTGAAACACAACTGGATCCCAAAATTATGAAAAGTGTGCATTTCAGCAAGCATGTATAATTCATTTATCTTTTTGTCCAATAAATGTATGCAAATTCTGACACGTCTCTAGATGTAGCCAATAAGCACTTAGTCAAAGTCTGTATTTGTCAAGGTTTAAGTGCTGAGCTATTTTCAACAAAGTTATTCAAGATTGTACTTCAGTAGATTATGAGAAACGATAGAAAGAATTCTATTTCCTTCTTGAAATGCCATTCTGAGATGGGAAAAATATTTTGCACTTGTGAACTCCTGAAAACTCCTACAAAAAACAGGCATTTCTAACACAGTCCAGTTTCTTCTACAGTTAGGATTAAAACTAATTGTGATCCATTTTTTTTCCAAATGTGTTTGAAAGTTATTTAAAGAGAACAATGCCGACACATCTAAATGGAAATATTCTCATATGAATATATTACAGGAACATTACCTGGAATGAACAATGGATGCTACTGTAGCTAATTTATGACAATCATATATATTCCTTTCTATAATTTATGTAATTGTATATTCATTTAAATCAAATTATAGGGCTGCCCAACTGACTCAAGGAGGCTTACATAGCAGTTAATAAACGTAAATTACTAAAGTAATATTAAAACAGTAAAAGAACCTCCATGCTAGGAAAAGAT